TGACAAAGTGGCTCGCTTGACCTGAATTCACCCTACACACACACACACACACACACACACAGTATTTAAACAGCATTATAAATGAAGGATCTCCGTGTAATTTAACTCACCTTTGAGCACGCCAGACCACCAGAACCACCGCCAATGACGATGAGATCATAGTCGAACACCTCACTGCCTTCACCCAACAGCTTCTGCAGGACGCCATCTTTGTGTGCCTGTTACCACGGCAACAAACCCATCATTAGCAGGAGCATAAAAACGATGCTGATAAGAGGCATGGTGAAGAGGTGCTTGAGCATTATTCAGCTCGATTACCAAACGTCTCTCCCACAGAGCTGCTTTATACTCTACAGATAGATGCAATAGTGATTAGGCACTGATGAGCAGACATTTCATATATAGAAACCAAAAGCAGCCTTCTGATAGGGTAACTAACAAAAACTCAACAAATGAACAGGTGCATTAGTTTACAGTAGAAAAAAAAAAAGTCCTTAAAAATGAACCTCAATGCATGCATCTGTGTCACAGAATGGCACGTTTTAATGCATTTGGAGCATCATTGGTGCCATCAACAAGCTAAAATACTGCGAGAAGTTGCTTTTAATTATTTCTGGAATCGTGTCTGCCAATTTAAAAGTTACCAAGGTCAAGATATCCAGACAGTTAGATGCCAATTGAGAACAAACTCCAAAACAAATCATCACAACAGCAAAAATGACGTGCTAGCAGGGCTGAAAAAGTATTATTTATATAATTATAAGCATTACATTTTATATATTTTAAACAACACTTTGCAGCTTGATATAGTTCTAATATTTAATCAGGAGGTCTATGGCAACTCCCAGTCACAACTCACAAATCTATAAGACTCTAGAATTGTGTTTGCCATTTATAAATTCACAGAAATAAAAATCAAATGCTGACATGAGATATTTCAAAGAGTGAAACCGAAAGCCCTGCCCCGAAGCAGCGATGAGAGCAATTCCGTAAATTAAAAAGGATAGAATACCTTCTAGCAGACATGTGTGACAGTCAGCAACATTTTCATTACCTTTTAACAACCTATAATTATTCTTAAAAAAAAAATGAAAGGGTGTGTGAGGCTTTTGCAGCAGAAAGCTCACTAACTGAAGCATCCGCTCATGACCATCAGCTCCCCTTGACAGTGAACTGAAGCAAGAACTGCCTCAGAATGGAAAACCACTGGTTTTTAGTAAACCGTGTTGGAACAGCATGCATGAAATTACACTTTAGCAAATGCAATAGGTCACTTGGTTATTCTTCATTCGATAACTAAAGTTGCAGAGGTTCACACCATCAAATCTAGGAGAAAAATGAATGAAGAGTGAAAACTGTAAAACACCGTTTGCTTTTGGAAATGACATTATGTCTGCTAATAATTAACAAGAGGGGGAAAGTCTACGACCAACTAATTTCTCTGGTGGTCTTTGGCACGCACATGATAAAGCCCAGCAATTACGAAAACATTCAAAAGTCTGGCCAGTGAGACCCGGCGGGAAACATTGTCTTACACATGCACAGATCAGTCAGAAAAATCATCACCTTCATGGTTTTGTCACAGCCTCCGATGTGTTTCTTGTTGATGAAGACGTTGGGGACGGTTTTCTGCCCCGTCATCTCATGCAGCAAGTCCTGGTAGTTGGCTCCGTCCTCTGAAACACATCAGACATGATCAGTCAGGACCTCACCGCTCACGTTTCACATCTACACCACACGGGCAGCTCTCCAATAATCGAATCAGGTTCGGATCTGGCACTGCTCGTCTGCTTCTGAAAGCGATGTTTGGCTCCAAACACAGAGAGAAAAACACAGCAGCTAATCAGGTTTAGAGCGGTTCGCCAAAGAATCCATTATCAGGGTCATGCTACGAACATGAGATGAACAGCTGCGCATGGACAGCGAGATAAAGAGAGCATGAGATGTGAATGAGACATGGAGGAGGGTGCGGATGAGTCAATGAAAGCAAGAAGAGGAAGATTATTTTTAGACATTAGTAACTCTGGAGCTGGAGTGACTCAGCAGGTCGTCCGTCACGGCCAACACTTAAACATTAACTTAAGAGATTCAGCACAATGTTCAGAGAACACATGCAAGAGTACTTCAGCTCAACTCCGTCAATGAAGCAGTAAAAGTTCAATAACCTTAAACATGAACATTACATAATATTAGCTGAAGTGGAAACACATACAGATAACCTGCATAATCGGTAACCTTGCATATCAGGAAGAACTTCATGTAAAAACGCATGTTATGCAATTTCATGTTCAGCAAAACAAATGTAGTAAACATCTGGTTTGAGTACTTATGTAGTCAACAACTAGTCAGCTGTAATCTCAGAACCAGTTTCTGTAGATAGCACCCATCACTGACAAAATATTTAGACTCGCCAGTATTATAATTGGGCCCACTTGCTGGTGAAGATAAACAAATTAAAACACAATAGTGTGCAAAGCCTGAGACTACTAGAGAAAATGCATTTATTTCACATAGCAAAAAACTTTGTTGGTTTTGTTTTTCCCTTTAAAATGCTAAAACTTTATTTTTAGAAAAAAGAAAAACACTTGTTTTGAATTTTGTTTAATACCACACCAACTATTTTGATGGTGAAAACCATACTTGAGTTTATATTAATCTTAAGTACCTTAAAATAGAAATGAAACGCATTTAAGATCTTATTTCACCTAAAAATGTAATAAAGTGTTTCACATGCATTATTTCAGACGTGAATCTGCTACTACTTCCATCAGCTGAAGAATACAAAGAGCAGTGACTGGCACTTCCTCCGTGTCTCTCATTTCACTCCAAAGAAAGGAATTATTATAAAAGTCACTTAATATGCAAAATAGCTATTGTGCTCTTACCCATCAGGTCCAGCTCTATGGCATTACACTTGACATTCAGCTCTTTAAAGAGTTCCTTCACCTGGAATTAAAGAAAACCACACATGTTAGTGTTTCAACAAGACCTTTTCTCTTAGGCAGAAAAATATCCACCACAGCTTTTTAAAAGCACGGCATCACTAACTCCGGTGCATTAAAGGAACTGCATGAATAAACGCTCAGGTGATCAGTTAAGTACAAAACTACAAACGAGTAAAATCATTCAGGTTGTGGAAAGAACGGTGTGATCTACAGCTACTTTGTATTCTAATAATTCACAACCTGCTGGTTTAATTTCCATCACTAGTTTACTCTGAAAGCGGCAGCTCACATCTTCAGTCATGACCTACAGACCAAACCAGCTCATCTACCTGAACAGAAACTGTTATAATGTTTACAATTACTATAGATTATCTTAAAGTCTAAAACATAACATTGTACCCTTTGGATTATTGCCCTCCAACTAGGGGTGTGCGATATATATCGTCTGCGATAATATCGTCATTGTGGTTTTAACGATGTGCGATTTGACATTATCGAGTATTTTGCAAAAACCATTCAAAACATCCCTACAGAGCGTGACTAGTCTGTGCGCATTTAGTGTGTGTTCTTTCACTGCATGATTCAGTATTAAAATGCATTTAGAATGATCACAAATTCAAGACATGACGGCAGAAAATGTATACCACTTCATATAGTTACTCAATTTCACACGAAGAGTGCCGTTTTTCTCCAAAAATTACCATGATTACAAATGTGACATTGAATTCAATAAACAAGTTAATTAAGAGACGTACGTTTTAGACACCATATTGCTTGTTTTTGCTCTATTTCGCTAACAAAGATCATCCCGAATACAGCCACAGCGCTGTTTTGTGTCTCTGAGCAACATGACGGTGTTTCGTTCCTGAATGAATCACTCGTTTAAATGATTCGGTTCAATCGCAACGACTCACTTATTAACAGTGCTTTGCTGCCACCTGCTGGCGGCTTTCATTTCACCTTTATCTTTCTTTTCATGTTTTAAATCATTTCAAATATCAGTATTCAACGCTTTATGTTTAATATATCAAAACATTATTTATGCATTTGTAATTGCAGGTTAAATGCATTCATGTCTTGCATTAAACAAAATACATGTGTGTAAACGCATCTAGGGTAACTAACAAAAACTCAACAAATGAACAGGTGCATTAGTTTACAGTAGAAAAAAAAAAAGTCCTTAAAAATGAACCTCAATGCATGCATCGGTGTCACAGAATGGCACGTTTTAATGCATTTGGAGCATCATTGGTGCCATCAACAAGCTAAAATACTGCGAGAAGTTGCTTTTAATTATTTCTGGAATCGTGTCTGACAATTTAAAAGTTACCAAGGTCAACCAATTTAAAAGTTACCAAGGTCAAGATATCCAGACAGTTAGATCCCCTTGACAGTGAACTGAAGCAAGAACTGCCTCAGAATGGAAAACCACTGGTTTTTAGTAAACCGTGTTGGAACAGCATGCATGAAATTACACTTTAGCAAATGCAATAGGTCACTTGGTTATTCTTCATTCGATAACTAAAGTTGCAGAGATTCACACCATCAAATCTAGGAGAAAAATGAATGAAGAGTGAAAACACCGTTTGCTTTTGGAAATGACATTATGTCTGCTAATAATTAACAAAAGAGGGAAAGTCTACGACCAACTAATTTCTCTGGTGGTCTTTGGCACGCACATGATAAAGCCCAGCAATTACGAAAACACTCAAAAGTCTGGCCAGTGAGACCCGGCGGGAAACATTGTCTTACACATGCACAGATCAGTCAGAAAAATCATCACCTTCATGGTTTTGTCACAGCCTCCGATGTGTTTCTTGTTGATGAAGACGTTGGGGACGGTTTTCTGCCCCGTCATCTCATGCAGCAAGTCCTGGTAGTTGGCTCCGTCCTCTGAAACACATCAGACATGATCAGTCAGGACCTCACCGCTCACGTTTCACATCTACACCACACGGGCAGCTCTCCAATAATCGAATCAGGTTCGGATCTGGCACTGCTCGTCTGCTTCTGAAAGCGATGTTTGGCTCCAAACACAGAGAGAAAAACACAGCAGCTAATCAGGTTTAGAGCGGTTCGCCAAAGAATCCATTATCAGGGTCATGCTACGAACATGAGATGAACAGCTGCGCATGGACAGCGAGATAAAGAGAGCATGAGATGTGAATGAGACATGGAGGAGGGTGCGGATGAGTCAATGAAAGCAAGAAGAGGAAGATTATTTTTAGACATTAGTAACTCTGGAGCTGGAGTGACTCAGCAGGTCGTCCGTCACGGCCAACACTTAAACATTAACTTAAGAGATTCAGCACAATGTTCAGAGAACACATGCAAGAGTACTTCAGCTCAACTCCGTCAATGAAGCAGTAAAAGTTCAATAACCTTAAACATGAACATTACATAATATTAGCTGAAGTGGAAACACATACAGATAACCTGCATAATCGGTAACCTTGCATATCAGGAAGAACTTCATGTAAAAACGCATGTTATGCAATTTCATGTTCAGCAAAACAAATGTAGTAAACATCTGGTTTGAGTACTTATGTAGTCAACAACTAGTCAGCTGTAATCTCAGAACCAGTTTCTGTAGATAGCACCCATCACTGACAAAATATTTAGACTCGCCAGTATTATAATTGGGCCCACTTGCTGGTGAAGATAAACAAATTAAAACACAATAGTGTGCAAAGCCTGAGACTACTAGAGAAAATGCATTTATTTCACATAGCAAAAAACTTTGTTGGTTTTGTTTTTCCCTTTAAAATGCTAAAACTTTATTTTTAGAAAAAAGAAAAACACTTGTTTTGAATTTTGTTTAATACCACACCAACTATTTTGATGGTGAAAACCATACTTGAGTTTATATTAATCTTAAGTACCTTAAAATAGAAATGAAACGCATTTAAGATCTTATTTCACCTAAAAATGTAATAAAGTGTTTCACATGCATTATTTCAGACGTGAATCTGCTACTACTTCCATCAGCTGAAGAATACAAAGAGCAGTGACTGGCACTTCCTCCGTGTCTCTCATTTCACTCCAAAGAAAGGAATTATTATAAAAGTCACTTAATATGCAAAATAGCTATTGTGCTCTTACCCATCAGGTCCAGCTCTATGGCATTACACTTGACATTCAGCTCTTTAAAGAGTTCCTTCACCTGGAATTAAAGAAAACCACACATGTTAGTGTTTCAACAAGACCTTTTCTCTTAGGCAGAAAAATATCCACCACAGCTTTTAAAAGCACGGCATCACTAACTCCGGTGCATTAAAGGAACTGCATGAATAAACGCTCAGGTGATCAGTTAAGTACAAAACTACAAACGAGTAAAATCATTCAGGTTGTGGAAAGAACGGTGTGATCTACAGCTACTTTGTATTCTAATAATTCACAACCTGCTGGTTTAATTTCCATCACTAGTTTACTCTGAAAGCGGCAGCTCACATCTTCAGTCATGACCTACAGACCAAACCAGCTCATCTACCTGAACAGAAACTGTTATAATGTTTACAATTACTATAGATTATCTTAAAGTCTAAAACATAACATTGTACCCTTTGGATTATTGCCCTCCAACTAGGGGTGTGCGATATATATCGTCTGCGATAATATCGTCATTGTGGTTTTAACGATGTGCGATTTGACATTATCGAGTATTTTGCAAAAACCATTCAAAACATCCCTACAGAGCGTGACTAGTCTGTGCGCATTTAGTGTGTGTTCTTTCACTGCATGATTCAGTATTAAAATGCATTTAGAATGATCACAAATTCAAGACATGACGGCAGAAAATGTATACCACTTCATATAGTTACTCAATTTCACACGAAGAGTGCCGTTTTTCTCCAAAAATTACCATGATTACAAATGTGACATTGAATTCAATAAACAAGTTAATTAAGAGACGTACGTTTTAGACACCATATTGCTTGTTTTTGCTCTATTTCGCTAACAAAGATCATCCCGAATACAGCCACAGCGCTGTTTTGTGTCTCTGAGCAACATGACGGTGTTTCGTTCCTGAATGAATCACTCGTTTAAATGATTCGGTTCAATCGCAACGACTCACTTATTAACAGTGCTTTGCTGCCACCTGCTGGCGGCTTTCATTTCACCTTTATCTTTCTTTTCATGTTTTAAATCATTTCAAATATCAGTATTCAACGCTTTATGTTTAATATATCAAAACATTATTTATGCATTTGTAATTGCAGGTTAAATGCATTCATGTCTTGCATTAAACAAAATCCACACCAACTATTTTGATGGTGAAAACCATACTTGAGTTTATATTAATCTTAAGTACCTTAAAATAGAAATGAAACGCATTTAAGATCTTATTTCACCTAAAAATGTAATAAAGTGTTTCACATGCATTATTTCAGACGTGAATCTGCTACTACTTCCATCAGCTGAAGAATACAAAGAGCAGTGACTGGCACTTCCTCCGTGTCTCTCATTTCACTCCAAAGAAAGGAATTATTATAAAAGTCACTTAATATGCAAAATAGCTATTGTGCTCTTACCCATCAGGTCCAGCTCTATGGCA